AAAAAAAAGTAAAAGTAAAAAGCCAAGCCTCACTTTGACATTTCTCTTTAAAAATCGCTGCTAAGTCAGTTTTGTCGAAAATCTTACAGATTTCTTCTCATTCTTAGGGTGTCCTTTAGTCCCAAATATTAATAATAATAAAAAAGTCCTCACCAAACCGATACACTTTCTCTTTCAATCCCTTCCGGAGCTGTCCCAGCTTCAGCAGCTTAATGGCTGCCTCTCTGCCGATGGTAAAAGGGCTTCTCCTGGATCAACCAGGGACTTTGCGATGTCCCTGGGATCAACAGAAAGCGCCCCTTACTATCACCGTCTCTACGGGACGGTTTAGGTCCGTTGGGACCGACCAGGGGCAAAGATATCAGCTGTGATCTCGGAGCCCCAAGATTGCAGCTGTATCGCAGCGACGTGGCTCCGCCTTCTCCCTCCAACCAGCCAAGTTCTAATCTGCTTTAGGAACAATGCCAATGAATGGTCCTTAAGAGTTGTGATGTTAAATAAAAAAAAAAACTCTTTGGATTTGTCTCCCAAATATCACCTACAACTGGGAAAACCAGCAATTGTTCTTGTTAATGTATAGTGGATCAGCAATACGATTATTTTAAATAGGTGTGTTAGACATTTTTCAACTTACTTGAGTGATGGGCCACCATAACGGAGCATCTATACACAGAGAGCCTGTCAGCAGGGGCACAACTCTAGCAATCTTCAGGAACAATGCTAGATTTATATACTCACAGTCTATTGGTGTTCTCAAAGAGCTCCAAGTTTGTGCCCCAATTATAGCTGATAGGTTCCATGTACAATAGAAGGGCACCCAGAAGTAGGAAGAAGATCCAGCAGGACAGTAATAGACTTGTGTACAGAAACAGCTAACTAAAAGATCATCGGCATGACTGAGGGATTGCAAGGACTCCCAGGAGGGTTCCCCCCCATCTTATTTCATGCACCAGATTTTGCATGTTTAGAAAGTTAGCACCCACCCCTCTCCTAGAAGAATAAAATATTCTAGGAAATATTAAAAAGGCAGAATATTTCCCCTAAAAGAGGAATAGAAATTCTTAAGGGACACAGAAACTCAGCCTCAGCAGATAGTTTGGTGCCAGCTTATCTACAACACAAAAGATCTTCAGCTCCAGGGTGATTAGCCCTCACTCAGATCCAAACCAGGACAAAGCCATTAAGCCAAAATAGGAATTGCCCAAAGCCCCTTCATTACATCACCCAGCAAGATTCAACCAAGCCTAGGACTCAAGACAACCTACCAAGTTACCCCTGCATGGCCCCATGGGAGTCTGACAACCAATCAGGATACATTTCTTGTCACAGGAACAAGAAGCAAGGTCAAAGTCCAAGAGAGGGTATCTCTCTCCCCCCCCACCCTTGTGCTCTTTTGCTCAAACCATGTGGTCTTGTCCACCATTAAACCATCTTTCCAAGCAGTCTCCATGTTTCCAGCGTCTTTCTCCCCACTTGGAATTAAACCAGGATGGACATTTCTTCCAACACACGAACATAGCATGCTGTTGTTAATTAATATAGGCCGATTTATTCAGGCACTTACAAAAATGGAGCCACTTCTTTAAGAGTCACTTAGCCTTTAATAATTTAATTTCTTAAAGTTGCAGCATGTTCTAGGAACACCTATCACCTCTTGATGGTTTTCACAACCTATGACACAAACCCAGGGGAGGGTTTCAGCCAGTTTTCACTGGTACACCTGAACCAGATGTTAATTTTACATCTGGTTCAGTGAACCAGTAGTTGCGATGACTGGCTGGTCCTGCCCACCCCACACCGCCCCTCCCAGGAATCTCCTCGCAACCTGTTTTGGATGGCAAGTAAGTGCAGGGCCTGTGCAGATGCTCGGGGAGCCATTACCATTAAGATGGCAGCAAAGGAAACAGTCAAATGCTTTGCTGCCATCTGGTGGCCATTTAAAATTTTGCATCTGACATTGGATGTATTTCTTTTTCAGTCCTAAATCTCCATGTATTTATTATGAACAAAGTTTCTTGAACTTTCATAAATATTGCTTTGGGGTAAGGGTATCATGTGACTATATTGATATTTTTTGTATTGATTCCCTACAGCAGGGGTGTCAAACTCAAGGCCCAGGAGCTGGAGCTGGCCCGTTTAGATCCAGCCCATGGGACTGCCCTGGAAACAGCAAAAGACCGGCCCGTGGTGACTCTGACAGCAAAAATGGAGCTCCGGAGAGCCACGGGCAGTTCTCCAGAACTCCATTTTCGCAGGCAGAGAGTTGCAGGAGGCCATCACAGCCTAAAATGGAGCATATGACGGCCATGGGCAGGCTTCCTGAGCTCTATTTTCTCTGGTGGAGGGTTAACAGGAGGCTGTCGCAGACAAAAATGGAGCTCGGGAGCCCGTTTTCACTGGGCAGAGCGCTCGGGCCACCATAAGCGCCCCAGCACACCTATCCTGGCCACATCCACCCCGTCCCCAAGGTCAAACACAACCCTGATGTGGCTCTCAATAAAATCAAGTTTGATGCCCCTGCCCTACAGAGAGAGCAACAAAAGATCATCTGGCTTAGAGAGTCCACAAATGTTTTGCACATGGGCAAAATACTATTGAAAAAAGGGGCTGGTTTTTTTACATCCTCTCCAGAACTGCAGGGGGTAGTACATCCAATCTGTTTAGGGCAAAAGCCCAATGAAATTTCAGAGTTACAATTGAAGAGAGGTAAAACGATGGCCCATGCACATTAGGAAGAATCCACAAACTATAGGATTGGATACCAAGCTTAAACTAATCTAAAAAAATCAATAAACTGGATGTGTTGTTTAAATTGATTCCTGCCATTTTTAAACCCTAATGGAGAGAGGCTTTTCCCAAAGAAAGTCCTGAGGATTGGAGGTTTCCATTACCTTTTGTTAACCAGACTGATAATGGCCCCTGAGAACCAGTGGAGCCAGACCCACAGGAGGGGGAAAAATAAATTTCAACCAGAAATTAAGGAGATAGGTCCAGGCTTTGGTACCCACAAAAACCCATACCTTTCTCTAA